AAAGAACAGTATACTAGAGGTAGACCGTAGTTAAGTTTATATTTTATTCAGTGACATTAAGTTCTTTGTCAGGGGTGTCTTAAAATGTAGTCTAAATGTAAATTTCAGCCGAGGGCAAGAAGTTGTTGACAGTAAAATATATCGGTCAATACCGGATTTTTTTAAAAAATGTTTTACTTTCTGTTAAAGTATTAGTCGAAAGACTTCTGAATTCTAAATAATAGAATAGAATAGAATATTTTTTTATTCAATATACATTACATGTGTAATTCTTATTGAACGTCATTTTTTACTTTACCATTGGTTCGAAAAAAACCCTCTGTCCTGGGAAGAACCATCAAGAAACCCAGCGGGACATTTTTTTAAAAATAAATTTTACAATATAAATGATTACAAACTATTTACAAAATTTATTTTAGAAACTGCTTGGAAGCGACAACCTCATTCCCAGGGGTTGTGGTCAACCATGTATTCATTTATAATAACTCTTTTTATACAGTTTCAGCTTAACAAAACATTTAAACTTGGTAATAGAGAGAGCCTGTACACTTTCCGGGACCTTGTAGTAATAGCGTATACATTGCCCCAAGAATGAATTACTGACTCTGTGGAGGCGAGAAACTGGTATCACTAGCATGTATTTGTTCCTAGAGTTTATGGAATGTATATCACTTTTTTTACTAAAACTACCTTTGTTTTTGTGAACATACATTAAATTTTCGTAAATATACTGAGAGGCCAATGTTAATATACATATTCATTTCTTTAAATTTATCTCTAAGAGACTCTCTCGGCTTAAGATTGTAAATAGCTCTAATGGCCCTCTTCTGTAAAACAAAAATAGTTTCTGAATCAGCCACATTTCCCCATAGCAAAATCCCATAAGACATGCTATGGAAATAACTGAAATAAACTAATCTAGCTGGCTCAATACTAGTGAGATCTCTAATCTTTTTTACAGCATAGGCTGCAGAACTTAGTCTGCTTGCTGGTTTGGATATATGGGGGCCCCACTGAAGCTTCCCCATTTAAAAACACATTGGTACTCAGATTTTTAACATTCGTTGTTGTAAATTTAATAAATTTAGTTTTATTTCCGTTTAAATATAGATTATTAACGTTAAACCAATGCTCTAATTTTGATATACCATTATTCACTTCATCACATTTAAATGATTGTCGTTTAAGTTTAAAAATCAAGGAAGTATCATCAGCAAATAAAACTATATCATGATTATCCCCTACAAGGGAAGGTAAGTCATTCATATACACTAGAAACAGGAATGGGCCGAGAATCGAGCCCTGAGGGACACCCATTAGTACAGGTAACCCGGAAGAACTTTTACCATTGATAAGAACTTTCTGCATTCTATTACTTAAATATGAAATAATAAGTTTAAGCGCTGTGTTCTTGACACTATAGTACTGTAGGTTGTAGGGTGAACGCAGTCGAAGGCCTTGGAAAGGTCACAAAATATACTCAAAGCATCCTCTGACTTCTCCGACGCACAAAAAATATGTTTAATAAGCTCAACTCCAGCGTCAGTTGTCGAGCGACCCCTTGTAAAACCGAATTGATTTTTATGTAACAATTTATTAGTATTAAAGAAACTTAACATCTGATCTAAAATTATTTTTTCAAAAATTTTACTAAATGTTGGTAGTACAGAAATTGGCCTAAAATTGGCGGGGTCTAATGTACTACCAGATTTAAATAAAGGTATGACTTTACTATGTTTCATTAAATCAGGAAACACACCAGATTCGACGCTTGTATTAAATATAGTGGCTAGATAAGGTGCTATTATATCTATTATAGATAAAATAACTTTAACGGAAATCTCCCATAAATCTGCCGTTTTCTTAACATCAATAGTTTTAAAATATTTAACGATATCTTTTGGCAGTACTCTATGAAATTTAAAAGTATTTGAACAAGCCTTTACATTTTGTTTAAGCAATGATTCGGCGACAGTAGGAGAAGAGTTTAATGATTTAGTTGTCAAAAAAGGAACATCAGTAAAATGTTTTTCAAAAACCATAGCAACTTCTTGATCAGATCGAGTTAAGTTATTGTTAATATTCAATTGAAAATCCGAGTTGCGCGGTTTGACCTTACCGTTTCACTATTTATTATTCTCCAGGTCATTTTAATTTTGTCGGATGCGGTTTTAATTTTGTTGCTTAAATGTAAAGCCGTAGCAGTGGAGCACACTTTTTTAAATATTTTAGAATAAGTTTTTACATAATCTCTAAATATAACACTACTATTATGTGATATTTCATCAAAAAACTCGTATAACCTTCGCCTACTTTTATAAATTCCTATTGTCGCCCATTCATTAAATGATTTGCGACTGTTAAAAGAGAAAGTTTTAGAAGTAAATATTCTACTTAATTCACAACTTATAATTTTAAATAACGTACCATACAAATAATTAGCACTATTTTTAAACGAAAGCGATGGAAGTCTTTTTATTATATTACTTCTAAACCTCTCTAAGCGATGTTCATTTATTGGAACACAACGTACTTATTCTTCTGTTTTTTGTGTATGTAAGGTAGTGATACCAACTGTCCACAGTGATCTGAACTTAAATTTTGAATAACAAGGGCTTAACATCTGTAAAAATATTATCTATACTGGTCGCACTAGGCCCAGCAATAAGTGTTGGTTCTAAGAATAAATTAACAAGATTATACGATTTAAACAATGAGCTAAACTTAATACTAATGGAAGAAGTTTCAAGGAGATTGATGTTAAAGTATTATTTTGATTATATGGAGTTGTGGATATTATTACATCGCCACAACACGATTCTTTTTATAGGATAGGGTGACAAACGAGCACACAGTCCACCTGATGGTAAGTGGTTGCTGTGGCCCATAGACATCTACATCTATCCTCGTTTGGGAATCAAAATGCAGATGCGTTGTCATCCGTGAGAACTAAGATGGAATGCCTCTTTTCCAGTAAAACGGGTCTCCGGTTCTCTACACTCAACATACGAAACACAGCAGTGTTAAGATGCTATTTTACACTGGTAATCTGTGAGAGCGTGGTCCTTCCCCGGTCGAGCCGACCCATTCGTGCTACAACTATACTACTAATATAGCTGCAGCATGGCTATACCACGTAAACGATAACATAATAACTGGTTCTTATAAAATTTAAATGACAAACGAACATACAGTTTATCTTATAGTAAGTAACTATTGCAGTCCATTGATATCTGCAACCAACGCCAATAAAAATAAGCTATAGATTGCGTTGTCACCTCTGAGGTCTAAGGTGTAATGCCTCAGAGCCTATAATTTTACTGGCTTTCTCTATTGTATATGCTTGCACTACTATTTGGCGATAGAAAAAAGTATCTACCTAGGTGGAATTTTAGGCAAAACATTAATACTCTCACCTTGTTATATTATGCTACTATCCTCGATAGAAAATTAGTTTGCAGGCGCGTCAGTAAAATACCGGTTGGATTGACAGTGAGCGAGAGGTTGCGTTACGTGCGTGCGTTGCAGTGAGAACCCCCCCCCCCCCCCCTCCCACCTCTCGTTTGTGCAGTATAAAGTACAGTGTAGGTGCCGAGCGCGAGAGATCCCACTTAAGTCATTCTACGAGTGAAGTCATTCTACGCGTGGTAAGATAGAGTCCTGGTTCTGTCCGTTGTAGCGATTCTTCTGAGAGATTGGTATTGCTTAGAGCCTGTGCTGTGTTACATTGAGATGGGTAGTGTTGCTGTTGGTTTGCATACTTTGGTGTTATCATGTAATTGTGTCCTTCACGTTACACCAGTGAGTAATTGTGACGAGGTCATATTACGGTATTGATAAATTGCGTAAGCAAGAGAGCAAGTTGAATATCCGTTCTCACACCTTTACTATTTTTAGCAATTAAACTTTCCTGACGTATTCCCGCTAGTTCCGACAAGTTCATCATCATCATCATTACAGCCCTTCACAAGTTCACTGCTGAACATAGGCCTCACCCAAGGAATGCCACAAAACACGGTCCTGAGCCACCAGCATGCATCAACTTCTTGCATGTTTTACCTGGTCGTCACTCCATCTAGTGGGGGAGACGCCATACACTTTGTCCGCCTGTACGAGGCCGCCATGACGAGTTCATAAATTAGTAAATATTTATATTTTTAGTACACAAATTAATTTTCATATAAGCTTACAGAAGTAGGACTTATTTTCCATCTAGGAGCCAGTCTGGGTAGGTTCCACCCTCTTACTTATTCCTGCCGCCAAATATTATGGCTCTGCACTGGTGTGTTCAGTACAGGCCGTTAGGTATTCCATCTTAGTCCTCAGATCTAACGACTTCTTCGTTCGAAGTTAACCGCAGGTGCTTAACATCAGGTGGAACGTAAATTTATATGTCACTTCAGTTTTATACAAAAAGACCTTTTAAGTTAGCAAATAGGCCTGTCGTCACTGCATCTAGTAAGGGCTTATACGAGTACGCTTCGCTTACTATTTCTGTACGTGACTTCAAATCGAGTATCTTCCTTCTCCATCAATTGTTGTTCTTTTTAATAAAATATATAGAATAAAGTTGATAAAACACACATTCCACCTGTTGGTAAGTGTATGCTGTGACCCGTAGACTTCTACAATTATCCTCGATTGAGAAATAAAATATAAATTCGTTGTCACTCTTGAGGACTAAGATGGAATGCATAGCTCATTAACAATGTTTCCGGTTCTCTACACTTACCTTGCGAAACACAGCTGCATTAAACGTTTATTTTACACTCTTATTCTGTGAAAGCGTGGTCTGGTCTCGGTCGAACCTGTGAGAGTTTATTGTAAAAGTTGAGGGTGTATTGAACAAATCAGTCTCAGCTCGATCTTAGTGTTTGATTGACGCGTGCCCATGCCGACAGAGCTGACCCATTCGCGCTATAGGCATAATATAGCTGCGACATGGCTCTATTATTATTTATTATTTTATTGTTATTAATTATTCTGTTCACATTACTTACTTGAACTATATTCCAGTAGGGCACTATCTTAGCGATGCTTTCAGTGACTTCGGAACAGGCCGTCCCCAACAGCATCACCATCCTGGATTCCCTCTCTGTGTACAAAGCGTGAAAGAATCGGTCCACGCCTACTCCTGGATCGCACTAGAATGTTTTAAGAAAGAAAGAAAATATTTGAATAAAACTACTTTTACGGATTCTATCACGTTTAATTATACTTATTTTTAAATTCCCGACGTTTCGTGTGCCTTCCAGCACCAATGGCCACGGAGGATTTTTATTCAATGTGTAGTGTTCGCGTAAATATAAGAAATCATTAAGAAAATATTTATTTCATCACATAAGCACAATGCCATATTGTACGTAATATTTTCTCATTTTGAACATTATTAATAATAAAGTGAATAGAATGAATAGAATAGAATAGAATGATTTTTATTCAATATTGATTATTACATAATACTTATTGAAAGTCATTTTTTATTTATGGAATGTGAAATTAAAGGTCTCCGTTTGAATGCTAATAAAACTAAGGTTCTGGTATTTGAAAGGGACGAAGAGAGAACGAAGTGTGAAATATGGGTAAATCAGGAATGTCTAGAACAGGTAAATGAAATTGTATACTTGGGGAGTGCTTTTAGCCGGGATGGAAGATGTGATTTAGATGTGGACAGGCGTGTCGCTGCCGGGAACAAAGTCAATGGTGCCCTGACTGCGTTAGTCAAAAGGCAAGGCGTAGCGAAGAGTGCACGCCTTGCAATACATAACGCAGTGTTGGTACCGACTTTGTTATATGGCAGCGAAACCTGGGTATGCCAGAAGAAGCATAAAAGTAAGTTGAATGCAGTGGAGATGCGATCTCTTCGTAAAATGTGCGGCGTTACCATGGCCGACCGAAAGCGAAACGAAGAGATTCGCAATATGGCAGGTTTGAAAGATGACCTTATCACAAAAATTGATAAGGGCGTGCTTCGGTGGTTTGGGCACGTTGAGCGAATGAGTGAAGACCGAATGGTGAAGAAAATATATAGCGCGAAAGTTAATATTAAAAGGTGTCGAGGTAGACCGAGACTAACTTTCGAAGACCATGTGAGCAAATTGCTCGAAGAGGGTAGGGTCAAAAGTACTCGGATACCTAGACGTGCATGCATGAAGAAGATAATGAATCTGAAAGAAGCGAAAGAGGTTTGTAAGGATCGTGACACTTGGCGATCTGTTCTCTCTGGCTACCCCGTCAGGGATTGTGCGTGAAGATAAATAAATAATAATAAAATTTTTTATTTACCACTGGTTCGGAAAATACCTCTGTCCTGGGAAGAACCAGCAAGAAACCCAGCGGAACTTTTTTTCATGTATTCCTTGATATTATAATAACCCTTTTTGTACAGATTTCATCAATAAAACTTTTAAACTTGTTTATTGAAAAACTTTGAACATGTTCTGGGATTTAGTTGTAAAAGCGTATACATTGCCACATAAATGAATTACTAATTCTGTGGAGTCTAGTAATTAAGTATTACTAGTCTAGTGTTATTAGTCTAGTAACTAAAGTAGTAGACGTTGCCGGGTTCGGGTTTGATAATTCAGGTGATATATACTCAGCATTTGGCGTAGCAAGCAACAGATGTTAATTTTAAATGTGGACCTTTCGAGTACGAGCAGTGGTCTATCTTAATAAAACCTTAACAGTGACATGTTTTTATCATGACCTTTTATCATATTTAAGGAGTCTTGGTAGCTCAGGAGTAGGGGTTTGTCTAGTACAAAATGAAAATAATCTCTTCCATACGATTTAAGCTATAGCGTCTGAAATCATTGCAACCTCTCCGTGTAGACGTGGCGTAAAAGAATCCACTCCCCTATATTATAACCCTGTGGGTATCGTAAGTGATTACACAGGGGAACTGAAGTAAGAGGAGCTGATGCCCTGATCTTCCTGATAACAGTTCAAAATAATAAACAAAATCGTGATTGCCAACGTTAGTTGGAACTACTGCAAATAGCCTCACTTTAACTAATGAGCGAGGCCTTTGTTCAAAAGTGGGCTGTAATGAGTAAAATGAATGAACGACTGCAACTTTCACCTAATTTTAAAATTAAAAAAAAAATGGATTCTTCAATGTGCCACGAGATTGGCTGCAGTAGCCGATTACATTTGAAAACGTGTGTAGACAATCGCAACACATAAAGACACCGTCCACTTTATTATAGAAGACGGTCGCTGTTACTTCGGTCTTAATATACTTGTTACATTTGGTACTCTTTCAGTTATAAAAGATTTTCGTGAGCCACTCTTTTCCCTTTATGATAACAGCTGGCTTCTTCTTACAATTTCAAAGGGTCAATTTTTTCATTTCATTTTTATATAAGGGCTTAAGTTAAAAAAATTGTGACAGCCCTATTATACCCTAACCGGATCATATACTTTTAAATAGTACTAAACTAAGGCAGTAATAAGTGGAAACCAGCCACTACAAGTTGATATACTTGAGTGGAGATTATGTGCTTTAATGCGCCAAATAACAGTGACTGCCTCTAATATTCCACGTACTAAACTTCAAATTGCTCATCAGCAACTGCCTTTCTCTTTAAGTACGGGCACATTCCTCCGACAAGTGGTAAGCGTTTCTACATTGCTATATGTGCAGTTCGGAGTTTCAGCTTTTTTCATTAAATAAGCAAATTTTGCCGTTGAATGTATCCGGAACGCAATCCAAAGGCTAAGTTGATTAAGTTTCTTTTCTAAATTGATTTTCCTTGGTGGAAAATGCGAACGACGGCGTAATATATTGAGACAATTTTGCCTCGCCTCGTGTGTCTTTTCAGAACAAAACTATTCATAGAAAATCTATACTTTTACCACTGGTTCCGAGAAAACTGGTCCTGAAGAATCAGCAAGAAACTCAGTGGTACTTTTTTAACAACTAACCTTGGTATCATTGGTGATGAGATGGAGTTTGTATCCTGGCAGCAGCGCGCGACTGTTGACGTGGTTTACGGCTAGTTTCGCCGCAGCCAATTCTGAAGCTCCTTCAGCCCTCGGAGACTGGCCCACTGTCAGCTCGAACAGTCCCAATATCGAAACTATTCTGTTGGTGGTTGTTTTTGGCAATTCTGTGGACAATACTATGGGTAAAATTATATGGTGTAAAAAGTTTAAACTTCGAGTCTACGTTCGTCAATAGTACGATGTTAAGGCATAATACATACATATAATCACGCCTCTTTCCCGTAGGGGTAGGCAGAGACCACTTCATTCCACTTGCTACGTTCCTTACATACTTGTTTCGCTTCGTCCACTTTAATTATTCCCTTCATACATGCTCTACGGTTTAGGGTACTCTTGACCTGGCCTTTTTTCAAGACGTTCCTGATTTGGTCTAGAAATGTCCGCCTAGGTCTACCCCTTCCAACACTTTCATTCACACTCGCCTTATACACTTTTTTCGTCAAAAGTTCTTCATTCATTCTCTCAACATGGCCAAACCATCTCAGCATACCTTTCTCAATTTTTGTCACTACATCTAAGGCATAATTATCTATGATTATATTATTACGTATTATGCATCGTTTTCTTTTTCATTGGTAATTAAAAGTTACTAAGTTTAGGTTGTTATTAGGAAGATGTTGCTGCTCTCGTCCTGGTTTGCTTCCCTCTTTCGCCTCTTACTATACCTACTGGACGATATGAGGTAGCCGCTATACGGGTAGGCTTCAAATTAATAATAGAAACATTATAATAAAATTATACGCCTACATAAACATTTCTCATTTTAACACTGGCCATAAATTTTTTCTTTTTCAATAATTAAAAATTAAAAATGTTGTACAACCGACTGCAATGTAAATTAATAAGAATAACCTCGAGGTACTAGCTTTCAAATAAAAAATAATCATCGAAATCGGTTTACCCAGACAAAAGTTATGAGGTAACATATATAAAAAAAAACATAGAGTCGAATTAAGTACCGTCTCCTTTTTGAAGTCGGTAGAAAAATCGGCATAAAACGTGTAATTTAGGTACATATTCTTCGTCTTCGTATTTTCTAAACAACCCTATTGCATTCTTATCTATATTTTACTCCTTATTCAATCGTCGTAAAACTATATGAGCAAGGGTCCGCACAATAAAAAAAGGTCGCCTTTTACTAAACATATTATAGTTAATCGTAAGACAGTTCTTGAGATATACAGATTTTAAAGATTTTTCAATACCGCCACACAGAATTCACCAGAATTTCGTTTTCAGAAAGCACACAAATAAAACTTTTTCTTTGTGTGCTTTCTTTTAAGTTTATTTATTTTTTTAAGCTTCAAGCAAGCGAATACAATTATAAAAAGTACAAAAGTATACACAATAAAAATTATGCATCTTAATAAATATTTATTTTCTTATTTTTACACTTTAAGTATCATAAAACATTACGTACTTCAAAAAATTACTATGAATGACACATAAACATATTTCAAAAAAACATGCCCATTTAATCAGCTATCCAAAAAGGTAATAAATAATATCTCGGTAAAGACATTTATTCATAACATACAGTCAATTAAACTAATGTGGGTCATTTCTAAACTTAGACAATTGTTTATAACTAAGTTTTTATATATTAAACATCTTGCTCAATATGAGCCTCTTGGTTGTGGATACACGTCCTGATTCTTTTAACAGTGGTAGAGCCACGTGGCAGCTTTTGCTGTCACACGGATGGGCCGGTTCGAATCGGGGTGGTACCACGACCTCACAGAAAACCAGCGTGAAGTAGAGGTTTACCTCTGCGTTTCGCTTGGTGAGTGCAGGTGGCCGCAGGCCCTTTTTACTGGAAATGAGACATTCCATCTTAGTCCTCACGGGTGACAACGCATCTACATTTTGATTTGTAATAGAGGATAGATGTAGATGTCTATGGGTCGCAGCAACCACTTACCATCAGGTGGACTGTGTGCTCGTTTGTCGTTTGAAAAAAAATTCTTTTCCTAACTTCGGTTTTCGTTATTTTTTAAGATATTGTAGCATTCTTCAAGAGAATTCACTGGGGTCACGTAGACTAAGTCCTTCGTAGAAGCCTAGTGGCGTCAGATCAGGACTTCGTGCAAGCCACGGAATTGGCCTCACCCTCCCGATCCACCTGTTTGGGTATTGGCTATTTAGCCACTCTCGTACAGATAACCGGAAGTGTGCTGGACAGCCGGCATGCTGATAAAATCGAATCATTTTTAATTTCTTCTGGAACATCTACTAATAAGTTTTCCAAATCATTTCACAAAAATTTTTTGTAAATTTCCCCGTTTAATTTTTGTGGCTTAAAATTAGGTCCAATAAGTTTGTCATTTACAATACCCATCCATACATTCAAAGAAAATCTACGCTCTACGCTGTGACGCCGTTGTTGATCATTGTGATAATTGTGAAAATACCGTTTTAAATTTGGAAGAATTATGTTGTTTAACTAGGAATGATAATACATTCACTGAAATTGAATGATATATTATAACTTTCAAAAAAAAATTGGTTGGTACTATACACGCCACCTACTGTAATTTAATTGTACTATGCCTACGACCTTTCAACTAAAAGTGGAAGTAATAAGTTGACAAAGTTTTAGCGCAATCTGATGAACGGTATGGCAGTGCATAAAATACGAACAAACATTAATCGTACCCCTCCTAACGCGAAGCGTTATAGGTGTGTCTTACTCTCGACACGTCAAGGTCAAGCAATTTTGTGTTCTTAAAATGCCTCTATCATAACCATATTTAACTTTCATCCACAAAATTGTACATATAGCGGACTTAATGCCATAGGGCATTCTCTCCCAGTCAACCATTAGGCTAAACAGATATAGACAATCAAGAGGTGAAGCGGTGCAGCATTATTCAAAATAGAAAGGGCTAAAAAATAGAGAATATTATATATATATATATATATATATATATATATATATATATATATATACATGTATACAGTACATATATACACAATACATATAAATATTATCTATGTCTGAACAAATATGAAATATACATAATTAAGTAAATGAAAATAAGAGCTGTGTTAGTTCAAATGTACAACGATTTTTTCACATGCCTAAGAATTTGATTTTTTAAAAAAAACTAGTTGGAAGCTTTTTAATGTCAAGAGGGATATCGTTACAGAGTCTGATGGCCGTGATGGCGAAAGAGTGAGATAAATAACCAGTACGGTGTAAAGGAGTGAGCAACTTAAGATTAGCCAAAGAACGAAGAGAATGATTATGAGAATCTCCCAGGTATTGAAATTTGTATTTCAGATACTCGGGAGCACAACATGGATCGTTCAGAATTGTGAAAAGGGTGCAGAGTATTCTTATATTTCTGCTCTGACTGATAGGCAGCCAATTTAGCTGAGCACGAAAAGAAGATACATGGTCGTATTTACGAAGACCATAGATGTACCTGATGCTGTTGTTAAGTAGACGATCCAATGTATTAAGATGATGTTGCGACAGGTCTGATCAACACACATGACATAATCTATAATCGGTAGAATAAGTGACTGGACAAGTAAAATCTTAGTATTGGTGGGAAGAAAGTTTTTTAATCGATATGGAGATCGCAAAGTTCCAGTAGTTTTGCAACTCACCTCCTGAATATGTTTGCTCCATGTTAAGCAACCATCAACGTACAGACCAAGGTTATTTACATGGGGAGAGAATGGTATAACATTATTTTTAAACACAATTGATGGTAGGGTGGGAATTTCTAGTTTCGATAATAATCGTGGGCTACCTAAGATTATTGTTTGGCACTTAGATGGGTTCACATTTATGCCATACACGGTGGACCATTCGGAGATGTATTTCAAGTCATCATTTAATAATGAGATAGCATTAGAGATGTTTGAGGGTTCCACTTGCAAAGGTATCCACTACCCCATATCATCCTGCTGGTGTCGTAAGAGGCGACAGAGGGAAACAAATCAGGAGATGGGCAGCCTCAGAATTACATCGACTGGTTTCCTATTTCATATCACTAGTCTACGCGTATTTTGTTAATAAAATGATTTTCAACTTTTATAAGTTTATTGCTATTAAAAATTTAAAGGCGCTGTCATACTTTTTAGCATTTAATTTTGATAGACAATGGACAATGTAGGTACTATATCGATTTTATACTTTTATTTTATTTTACTTTGTTTAATCGTTTTATTTTGGTAAACTTTTTTCCCTGTACCATGTACCCTGTACATTACCAGTTAAAATAATAGAGCGCTAAATTTAAAACACTTAAATAATATATTTTAAAAGCAGGGATACAATTTTTTTTAATCAAAATTAAATGAAACGCTCATGACTTGACTTATGACATGACTTTTGGAATATCCAAACTATTTTTATATATTATAGATGTGTTACACCTAAATAAAATAAAATAATATTAAACATATCGTCAACTAAATATGCTAAATTGCTAACTCCCAACCATGCTGCTTTTGAGGAGTAATAAAAAACTGATTTAAAAATTAAATACTCAAGTATGTGTAACTTACAAAGTCTAGTATGGTAAAATTTTATTTTTTTCTTATTATGATATCAACAGTTTTGCATTTATTTTAATTTAATTACTCTTTACGGCCTAAAATGGGAGTTAGCATATTTTGCAATTGTAAATATATTTTTATGGCGATTAGTTTGGGAGTTATCAGATTTAAAAAATTAAAGTATTCTTATTGAAAACAAAGTAAAAACTAATATAGCTTTTAATATCGAAACACATTCACAAAAATAAATTGAACAGTACTATCACCAATAATTACGACCTTTACTCATGCGGTAAATTGGTGTAAAGTTTTCTGAAATCCGCTGGCAGGACTTCTTTAGTTTGCTGAAGATCATTGTATTTTTCAGCTTTAATTTTCTATCTGGTTTGATGCAAATTTTGTATTTCTCCAAAACTTTTTGCTGAAAAAGGTCCTTTCCTTTGGGGCAGCAGCGTCCATGGCTCTTCATACCGCAACTTATATGAAATTTCTCCCAATGGAGAATAGATGAGTGCGCGTATATCGGTGACTTTAGGGTCTCCCACTGATCGTTCAGGGCGAATGCTTTTGTAGCTTGAAATATTACGGAAAT